TTAATTTTCATTTTAGATAACATTACTAGTTGTTTAGGTCTACATAGTTTTTATTCATTTTTATTTATTCATTTACGTTTATTGTAGTTTTAGTTATTTGAGTTAAGCTAAAAGAAAATCAGAAATGTTTTCTTGGAAATGAAACTGCTGAAACTGAATCTGAGTTTCACCTCTGCGCAGGGGAAGCAGCTTGTTCTCCAGGATGTCTCTGGCGTCGGTTCCTTCGTCCATCAGGTCCAGTTTGGTGATCACGCCGATGGTGCGCAGACCTGCAGGGCAAAAGGTTAAAGGTCAACAGCACATCTGGTTTCTCAATCACATCCCAAGCTAACAAAAATACTCATAACGTTCCCAATAAAGGCTTTAATAAGCATCATTTCTGAATGTTCTCTAATCGTCATAATTTTATGTTTTTAAAACTTTTTCCAGCTTATTCAAACGCTATTCAAACATTCCATTTTATAATTTGCAAACATTGCGAGACTGTTACTTTTGAACGCTCTCTGAACATTCCGAAACAAGAAGTAACATTTAAGAAATGTTCGAAGAGCTTCCAACTGAAACGCTTAAATATTCTGAAATGAAACACTCCAGATAACTCCGTTAGCATCAGTTTGTTCACAGCGTTCTCTGTGCGTGGCTCTTACCCTGAGGGTCCACCTCTTTGCTGATCTTCAGTGCGTCGGAGTTGGCGAGGTCGGAGTTGGCCGGCGTGACAGCCAGGATCAGGCAGTTCTCTTTGGAGATGAACTGCAGCAGCATGTCTCTGATGGCACATAGAGAAGAGCCGTCAGTGTTTCACTCGGGTCCTGTACCTGATCAAAGCAACAGCTCTTACCGGATCTGGTACTCGATGTCCACCGGCTGGTCTCCCACCGCCACCTTCGTCATGCCGGGCAGATCGATCAGCGTCAGATTCAGCACTGAGACAGAGAGAGAGAGAGTACAAACATCTGTAGTCTTCCTTCACGTTTGGCCTCTCATGAGACCGCTGCTGCTTGTTGGTCTGAGTTACCGTTGGGCGAGTAAACGCGCAGGTTGATGGGTACCGAAGAGATTCCCTTATTAGATCCGGTGATTCGGTCCGTCTCGGCCTCGATCTCCAGACGAACCTCGTCAAAGTCCACAAACTTACGGCTCTTACAGTGCAGGAACTCCGCATACTCTACAGACAGACAGAGAGGGACTGTTTCAGAATCATTCATATACCATATAAGAGTTCTAATTCATATTTTGAATCAGTTTTTATTTATTTTTTTTACAATTTTCGCATTCATTTTATTTTTTACATTTTAGTAATTGTGAGGCATTTTTTTTGTTTCAGATAATTTATTTTATTTTATTACTTCATCTTAAAAGAAAAAAATATATATAATTTTTTTTTTTAA